ATGATGGTGTCCCCTGAATAGATATGTGGACACAGTTGGCAACGGGCTTTGTTGCAAGGATAGGTTCCTGGGTTACAGAGTAGCAGCCGTGTTAGTCTGTATTCGCAAAAAGAAAAGGAGGACTTGTGGCACCTTAGAGAATAACAAATTTATTTGAGCATAAGCTTTCGTCTCTAAGGTGCCACAAGTACTCCTTTTCTTGTTCCTGGGTTAGTGGTTCTGTTGTGTGGTGTGTGGTTGCTGGTGAGTATTTGCTTCAGGTTGGGGGGCTGTCTGTAGGCAAGGACTGGCCTGTCTCCCAAGATCTGTGAGAGTGATGGGTCGTCCTTCAGGATAGGTTGTGGATCCTTGATGATGCGTTGGAGAGGTTTTAGTTGGGGGCTGAAGGTGATGGCTAGTGGCGTTCTGTTATTTTCTTTGTTGGGTCTGTCCTGTAGTAGTTGACTTCTTAGTGACAGTTAAGAGTGAATCAGCACCCATCCTCCTCCCACCCACCACAATATCTTTAAAGGAAGTGGTCATCTCAAAGGGACTTTAGCACTGATAAAGGTAGAATAATGTCCCAAGTGCATGGAGAGTGTGTGACAGTCAGATGTGCTAAACTGTTGATATAAGAACACATGAGATCATCATTGTGGTTTTGTGTGAAAGCCCAAGTTGAGGTGTATGTTGCTCTTCAGTATATATTGGAGATGGAAGGAAAAGCCTTTTGGAGCATTTTATCCAAAGCATCGTAGGCAATGTATGTGAAGGTGGCAAGTAATGAAGCCAACATTTTGTTTCCACACTGTTAAAGGTTTTGAGTGGGTCATGAAGCAGCCTTATCTGTCACTAAATGTAGCTTTTGTTATACAGGCGTGGTTAGCTCATGTGAGTAGCTCCGCAGGGGCTCAGGAAGATAAAAGGGGAGCTGCATGTGCCTGGGAAGCAAGAGAGAACCTGTGCTGCTGAACCCACTGCAGGCTGTACCAATCCCTGAAGGATGTGAGATGCTGCGATATGGCTCATTCCAGTCTGTGTCTATAACACTTTATCCCTGTGTTGGAAGGCAGTCTTACCACCAAGTGCAGTTGTGCCTCAGTTTCCCCTGTGGGTGGCAATTTTCTTCCAGCTAGGTGGGAGACTAGACGAGGTTTAGCCTCCAAGTCTTCCAGAATAAAACGTCCAAAAGAATCCATTAACATAAAGCCTGTCATCTGCTATCACAGCCTCAATGGTCTTCCTGCACTTCTCGGGGCCCACCTGTTCTCCCCTTTGTGGCGGGGTTTAGTCCTCCACCCCTCGAGGCAATAGCTCAATAGTTCTCATAGCCCTTCACAGGGTTTAGTCCCTTTGGAGAGCCTTGCAAGTTCTTCCCATTACACCCCTCCTTCCTCTGACCTTATTACCTCTTTCTCTTTTTCCTACTCTCTCCACCTTCTCCTGAGAGTCTTTGCAATCACTGCAAACAGCTGTGGCCCTTCCTAGGACAAGGTTAACTCTTTCCATGTCAACCCAGCACAGAGACTGCACGCTCTCCCACTAGGAGTGTAGATATCAGTACACATGGCAGAAGTCCAGCTCCCTGCCAGCCCAAGAATGTAGCCTCTCATGGATTTTTGGAACCTGATACAGCCAGGAGTGGCTGCACTCCTCTAGCGTGTCTAAATACTGTGTTTGTCTGGCCTACTAGTGTGAAATATCACGCTCATAAACCTTCAAACCTATTCATCTGTGACACCTGCAACCCAGACATGTGACTGAAATGTGAGACTTAGTCTTAAATGTAAGACTGCACTTAGGACAGAAGAATCCAATGCACCGCTACAGACTAGGGACCGAATGGCTAGGCAGCAGTTCTGCAGAGAAGGACCTAGGGGTGACAGTGGACGAGAAGCTGGATATGAGTCAACAGTGTGCCCTTGTTGCCAGGAAGGCCAATGGCATTTTGGGGTGTATAAGTAGGGGCATTGCCAGCAGATCGAGGGACGTGATCGTTCCCCTCTATTCGACATTGGTGAGGCCCCGTCTGGAGTACTGTGTCCAGTTTTGGGCCCCACACTACAAGAAGGATGTGGAAAAATTGGTGAGAATCCAGCGAAGGGCAACAAAAATGATTAGGGTTCTGGAACATGACTTATGAGGAGAGGCTGAGGGAACTGGGATTGTTTAGTCTACGGAAGAGAAGAATGAGGGGGGGATTTGATAGCTGCTTTTAACTACCTGAAAGGTGGATCCAAAGAGGATGGATCTAGACTATTCTCAGTGATAGCAGATGACAGGACAAGGAGTAATGGTCTCAAGTTGCAGTAGGGGAGATTTAGGTTGAATATTGGAAAAAACTTTTTCACTAGAAGGGTAGTGAAGCACTGGAATGCATTACCTAGGGAGGTGGTGGAATCCCCTTTCTTTGAAGTTTTTAAGGTCAGGCTTGACAAAGCCCTGGCTGGGATGATTTAGTTGGGGATTGGTCCTGCTCTGGGCAGGGGATTGGACTAGATGACCTCCAGAGGTCCCCTCCAACTCTGATATTCTATGATTCTATGAGACACCTGTATTCTTTTGATGTTTCACGCCATAATTTATTGATTATCCCAGTTTTCTTCCGACTGTGTGAATCACACGTAATCAGAATATCTCCCATGCAGATCAGCAGAAGCATTTGAACATTGAACATCAGATTCCCAGTTCAGACCCCTACTGCTTTAACTCCTGGAGTAATTGCCTCTTTGTGGACCATCAACTAGAGAATGACTTCACACACACTTTCCCAATGGGTGACACACTGTTTTCTAGACAGCAGTGGAAGTATTTATTCTAAAATACGCTCTATTAACAAACAGTGCTTTGTATAACTGATAGTCTGAATCAGCAGCAGAAGGAGCACCGTAGAGCACAGCCCCGAGCATTTCAGATTTCCTGCAAAAGGGGCCCAAAAAAGAACTACCCCTATAAAATGAAACACATAATACATTCTTAAGATGAATAGAAATTTGTGGCAGGTGCTACCACAGCACCATAATAATACATTTTGAGGGCTTATTATTTGCCTTTTGATTTCTGAGACTGAAGGATGCACTTGGGGGCCATGTTTTCAGATTCTTCTTCACCAAACATCAGAAGACTTGCAATAGAATCACAAGAGTTAGCAACACTGCATTTGGGCCCTGTAAGGCTAATCTGGAGGGAAGATGACTGAATGCATCTTTCGGTTGGCCCCCTCCCAGTGCTAGGAGAAAGGGGAAGGGCTGCAGATGAGTCAGGATCCTGAGACTGACAGGTCCCTAGGCCAATGCAGAGAGGCCAGCACTCCAAATCAGCTGGATTGACAGGACTGGCAGGTGTGAGCCGGGGCTGCCAGGACAAAGCCAGGGGAGCCAGAGCTGCGGCAGCGCTGACCAGCTCCACCACTGGGGAGCCAGGGCTGAGCTACCGCAGAGAGCTGAGGGGCCAGAGCTAGGATAATGACGCTGGCCATGCCACAAGCAAACTGGAGCTGAGCACAGCGAACACCTAGGGAAAGTGACGGGGGCCATGGGCAGAGGGTTCAGTGGAGGGAGATGGTGTCAGACAAGAGGGACTTGAAGGCCAGACTGGGAGTAGGGACCACGACCCCAATGGGAGGGCTGATACTGGGGAGAAGCATCCTGCCACCTGGAGCCTGAGAGCATGCATCCCAGGCCCCCACCCGCACCCCAGGGCAGGTGTCTGACCTATGGTGTCACCACAGTGCAGCCAGGACTTGGGATGTGTAGGAATAGGCTGTGACTAGCCCCCGAGAGTGTAGTTTATGGTATCCCTATGCCCATTGTGTTAGTTTCCAAAAGAATCCAAAAAAACCTCGTCTAGTCTCCCACCGTCTCCATTTTTCCCTGATTGGTTTACAGTTGCAGGTTAATAAATTGTACGTGGTTTAAACTCAATGCAATGATCACTGGATCAGGGAAGTGGCCAGGGAGGAGAGAGTACCCCACAGTAGGAAGACCCTAGGCCCAGTCCTGAGAAACCCATAATGAGACTGGGGGTTAAGCCCCCAGTGATCCTGGCCCCAGCCTTATCGGGGTTACGAGGTCTCTGTCAGATGGCAGCAAGGAAGAGGAGTTCTTGAGCTCAAGCAGGCATCCAGTAAATATTGTTGAGGTGCAGACTCAGACCCTGTTACCTCCAATTCCACCTGGGGCAGTAGAGAAGCCAGGCAAATTCCTCACAACAGCAGGACCATTCCCTGATTACATGTAGTTTGACAACGATATGAAAACTAACTGAGCGTACCGAGGATACTTGGGTTACCTGAGTTTTAAACCTGTTCCTGAACTCTTAATATTTGCAAGGATTCCGAGCTGTTTAAGACCAGAAGGGAGCATTGTGGCCATCCAGCCTGCCCTCCTGCATGATACAGGACAGAGAATTTCATCAAGTGATTCCTGCAACAAGCCCATAATTTATGATTGAGCTAGAGCATCTCTTCTAAAAAGACAATAAGCTTGATTTAAAAACTTCAAGTTCTGGATAATCCACTAGATCCCTAGGTAAAAATGTATAAACTCTTGGATTTACATAGCACCTTTCATCCCAGAGTGCTTCACAAGATAACATACAATAACTACAAAATACTTCTACTTCACCATAAAGAGAGAGGATTTAAATCCACAAACTTGAAATTCAGTTGTAAAGGTTGCTGCCCAATTTCCCATTTTTTGGATTCTGGAGAACAGCTTATTCTGTTAAATGCAACTTTAATGCAGTGTAGACCTGGAAATTGCCCCAGCCTGTAATGCAACTTTAACACAGTGTAGACCTGGAAATCGCCCCGGCACATAAATAAGCTAAAAGGGGAAGTTGCCTGTTCTACACTATCCTTCTACTCTCCACTGCCATGAGCACTGGCAGCCCTTCTCTTCTTCCTCTGCCTCTGCCTGGAAGTTTTCCCACAGCTCCATCCAGCCTCTGCTGCATTAAATAAATCCAGCACAAGCTATACCTGTTCTACAACATCTGTAACTATGGACAAGCAGCAGGAAACGTAACTATTCCATTCCAGTTTTTCACCATGCTTAGCGCTGTGTAATCTGAGCACCTTTAGAATATTCTCATGTGTTTAAATTCTCAGCCTTAACATTGTGTTAATACACTTTTTTGTATTTAATTTCTTTGGCTATAACTGATCATACAGGGCTGGGGTCTCAGTCTTGGACATTGTCTTTGAGATCTCTTGGGGAAGAAATTATTATTTCTGAAGATCAGAAGATTATTATTTTACTAGGACAAGTGGGTTTACATATTCCCAGAAATGGATCCGACTATTCAAACCCAGAGAGAACTGATTTCCCTTTTACTGGTTCAGCCATGGCTGTTCTTGTCCCCTGTTCCACACTGGTGTTATACAGTAAACAAACACAATACTTTCCAACACTGTTAACCAGTGGTGGATGCTCAGGCACAGAAGTGGAGAAAAAGAAAGCTGGACTAGAAAGCTCAGTACTCTCAGAAAAGAAGCTACCCAGAAACTCAATTCTAACCAAATCCATTTCTCCTGTGGCATCATTTACTCCTTCATGGAATTTGTCAGACACATAGGTCCCTACCTGTACACTCACTGTGCCTTCTGGTCTCCAGGAATACACCTGCTAATTGTAGTTTTCTTGGTGTTTAATTAAATTGGCCTTCTGGGAGGTTTCTGACTCTTTTGGGTCCTGTTTGTTGGATGTTCTGTTCCCTCTCAGCTGCGTTTTCTCCTTTTACTGTCCCTCCTAAATTGTGGACTTTTTCAGAAAAAACAAGGCTTGCTTTGCTGCGGGGCCTTGAAGGGTGCTTCCAACCTAATGTCATTTATTTATTGCTTTAATGTATTTTTAGTGTGGAGATTGCACAGCAGAGTTACGCAGGGAAGAAAATTAGCCGTGATCTCACTGCCTCCAACTGTGCTCTGTTTCAGGTGCTATTATCACGCTGGACACATGCGCGCGCACACACACACGCACACACACTTTCACTTGTGCACACTGTTCTGAATTCTGCAGCCTTCAGCTGACAAACAGGAGGCAAATTTTCTGCATTCAGCTCCCTGTGTCACCGGGCGGAGGGCCCTGAGTAAATAACAGGTTCAGTGCCGTATCTTTCTGTTCTTCCTTGGACATCAGTAGTCGATAACCCAACAGGTCCATGGCATCCTTGCACACATTTTGCAACTTTTCTATTTTCTGGAAAGGCAGGTTCTTCCTCCAGGCCTGGGACACATTCACTGCATCTCTGGAGCTGATGTCAAAGGCCTGCATCCCTAGGCCTTTCCCATGAGTAATGTTGTACACCCACACCTGAAGTTTGGGTGTGAAGTGGAGCTCTGCAAACTTGTACAACTGTTCAGCCTTCGCCAGGGGATCGTTGACAATATCTTCGTAGCGCACCAGCATGTAGCGGCCTTTGAGGAAGCTGGGAAGGGCCTGGCTGCCTTCAGTATAAATACGGATGTGACTTTTACAGATTTCTTGCATCACATTGTATGGCCCACTCTCCCCTTGGTTCTTCTGGGGCCCCACCACAATGTTACTGTCGCGCATCAGAGCAGCCACTGTTTTCTCACGAGAGTGGAACACAGCCCTGGGGTCACGAACCAAGTGAATGATTTTGAGATTCAGGGAGGGGTCAGTGAGAAGGGGATAGAGAACCGTCAGATCAAAGAACCGGACCTCCTTGAGGACTGTGTGGCTATAGGTCTTGCAAGCCTCCTCCACCTTGCTGAATGGATACCTGCTGCAGAGGGTCTTGCAGGCAGTTTTGGAAATGATGTGGTTGCGCTGGAAGAGGTCACATGCAGGGGGGGAGCACAGAGCCCGGCTGGTCTCCCACTGAAATAAATCAGATTTATTCCTCCGCGTAGACATGTAGGCATCAAACACAGACATGTCGCACAGAAAGACAGACCTGATGAGGTCACGTGCTGCCATCTGTAAGGTTTTGGCCCTGTTCTGGTACATGGCTGTCCACACGTGCCAGGCAGGCTCCATCAGGTAGAAGACATCAGGGTGCTGGCTGAAGAGCTGGCCAGTGAAGGAAGATCCTGACCTCCAGGAGGAGAGAATGAGAATGTGCACCTGAGCTGGTTTCTGTTCCTGCGGGGAATAGCTGCTGCGAAGCTGAGCGAGGAAGCACATGAAAACAATGGACTGAACTGCCAGGACCACTATCACTATTGTCTTGTTTGACTTCAGCATGGTGGCTGAGAGCCTAAGGAGGGGCGAGAGAGAGAGAGAGAGAGAGAGAGTGAGTGCATTCAGATCGTTGGGTTAACAAACACTGTGGGAAACCAGACCACCCAGGACTGGGCCTCAGAGAAAACCGCAGCACCCCTGTTCTGGGGAAACAGAGCGCTGCCTTGCCAGCAATGACATTAGAATCATAGAATATCAGGGTTGGAAGGGACCCCAGAAGGTCATCTAGTCCAACCCCCTGCTCAAAGCAGGACCAATTCCCAGTTAAATCATCCCAGCCAGGGCTTTGTCAAGCCTGACCTTAAAAACCTCTAAGGAAGGAGATTCTACCACCTCCCTAGGTAACGCATTCCAGTGTTTCACCACCCTCTCAGTGAAAAAGTTTTTCCTAATATCCAATCTAAACCTCCCCCACTGCAACTTGAGACCATTACTCCTCGTTCTGTCATCTGCTACCATTGAGAACAGTCTAGAGCCATCCTCTTTGGAACCCCCTTTCAGGTAGTTGAAAGCAGCTATCAAATCCCCCCTCATTCTTCTCTTCTGCAGGCTAAACAATCCCATCTCCCTCAGCCTCTCCTCATAACTCATGTGTTCCAGTCCCCTAATCATTTTTGTTGCCCTTCGCTGGACTCTCTCCAATTTATCCACATCCTTCTTGAAGTGTGGGGCCCAAAACTGGACACAGTACTCCAGATGAGGCCTCACCAATGTCAAATAGAGGGGAACGATCACGTCCCTCAATCTGCTCGCTATGCCCCTACTTATACATCCCAAAATGCCATTGGCCTTCTTGGCAACAAGGGCACACTGCTGACTCATATCCAGCTTCTCGTCCACTGTCACCCCTAGGTCCTTTTCCGCAGAACTGCTGCCTAGCCATTCGGTCCCTAGTCTGTAGCGGTGCATTGGGTTCTTCCGTCCTAAGTGCAGGACCCTGCACTTATCCTTATTGAACCTCATCAGATTTCTTTTGGCCCAATCCTCCAATTTGTCTAGGTCTTTCTGTATCCTATCCCTCCCCTCCAGCGTATCTACCACTCCTCCCAGTTTAGTATCATCCGCAAATTTGCTGAGAGTGCAATCCACACCATCCTCCAGATCATTTATGAAGATATTGAACAAAACCGGCCCCAGGACCGACCCTTGGGGCACTCCACTTGATACCGGCTGCCAACTAGATATGGAGCCATTGATCACTACCCGTTGAGCCCGACAATCTAGTAGTGCATTCATCCAGCCCATACTTCCTTAACTTGCTGACAAGAATACTGTGGGAGACCGTGTCAAAAGCTTTGCTAAAGTCAAGAAACAATACATCCACTGCTTTCCCTTCATCCACAGAACCAGTAATCTCATCATAAAAGGCGATTAGATTAGTCAGGCATGACCTTCCCTTGGTGAATCCATTGTAATCTCTTCAAAGCAGGGATTGTTGTCTTGTTCTCTGTGTCTACAATACCTTCCTTCATTAGATCACACAGACCAACTGGGGTCTCTAGGCCATACTGCAATAATAATAAGTCCACATTCTGGTAATAAATTTGAATGGTCTCTGGTGAAAGCAGATAAAAGGGACTGTGGGTCTGTTTGTGAGCCTACACACTAGGAGAGAGTGGGATTGAACGCTATATATACCCACCTAGGTCTGCTGTTTCTGTGCTGTAAGTCACTACAGCGTCCTTGCTCCTAACCCTCCTCAGGCGAAAGAAAAATCACATTTTTTTTCTCTTTTCCTTATCAAGAAGGGATTTATACAGCCCCGGAGGAGCCAAAGTATTTCCCTTGATGGGGACTTGTCCATTTTTTCAGCCTTGCCCTGGATTGAATTTCCCAGCTGGTGGGAGAGAGAGAAGCCTGGAAAGAAAGGAAGCCTTTGGTGAGGCTCAGACAGCTGCATGGTGCAAAGCAGCTGCATCACAGTGGAACTGGGAGGGTCCTGGCTACATCCTGGCTAGTGCCCCCTGGTATGTTTAAAAATCAGAGTTCTGTTTTTAATTATACTGACTTGATGGTTGTTATTATTGCAGTATGGCCTAGAGACCCCAGTTGGTCTGTGTGATCTAATGAAGGAAGGTATTGTAGACACAGAGAACAAGACAACAATCCCTGCTTTGAAGAGATTACAATCCAAGTGGAAGCTGAGAGATAGCAGGTGGATGCAACAAACAGGTGAGAGAGCCCAGCTAACTATAACTGCAAATAAATAACTACTTCTCACAGTCCTCTGGGAGACACAGATCTAGCATTATTCTAAGTTTACAAATAGAGAAACTGAGGCATGGGGCTGACATATGACCTTCTCAGAGCCTCCCTTATGCACTGGTATCTGCACCATGACTTTCTGACCCCCATCCTGTGCTCAAGCCCCTGGCACATGCTTCCACGTACAGCCTCACAGGCATGTCTGTAAAGTGCCCAAATGTCCCATTTTTAAACAGCTTGTCCCTGAAATTTGGAGCCTTAAAAGAGACCATCAGTTTCCTGTGCTCCCGACCTGCAGGGAGGCAGTGCAGGGATGCCATTTGCTCCAGGCCAAACTGTTGGCGGCAGCAGCCCTCCCAAACAGAGGCTGACACCAGCCACCTGACTGACTGCCAAAGCCTAGCGGGTGATGCCAAAGCTGCCCCTGGGCTAGGAGGAGCAGGGTTTGCCTGGCCTGTTCCCAGCGCAGGAGGCAAGGGATGAGGCGGGGACTAGCTCCCCAGTGGCAAGTGGTCAGGCTGCTGTGAATGGTTTATTGTGCCTCAGAGTCACGGGCAGGATCTGAAGCTCAGCAACAGAAAATCATCTCCGGCTCTTGCCAGCTGCTTCCTTCATTTTAATGAGAAAGCACGCTGTAAAGTATCAAATGCTCTTTATGTATAAACAAGGACAGCTTGGGGATGGGGTCACCACCACTGCTGTCGCTTCCGCATAAAACTGAGCGACAGGGTCAGCTCCTGCCCATCTCCCTGCCTTGAGTGACAAGCATCACCCCTTCTGCTGCTCGCTAGCCATGAGGTCAGTCCCTCAATTAACCCCCCTATCCTGAGTGACGGGGGTCAGCCCACAGCTAGTCCCCCTACCCTGAGCAACAGTGGTACCCCTTCCTGCACCCCGAGCGACAGGCCCATTCTCACTGGTAATCTGGCACCTTTGCCAGATGGCACGCACTACCCTACCTGCTGAGCTTCCAGAGGAGCTGATACGATCCCACCACAGGTTTCCTCTCCCCACCTGATTTGGGGGAAGGCAGGAACTCTTCATAATCAGCTCCTACCTTGAAATGGCTGTCCTCAGGAACAGGCTGCCCCAGCTGCTAGGCAGGGCTCTCCCAGGTGGAGCAGGGTCAGCCAAATGAACATGCTCACTTGAGAAGGACCTGGCACACCCAAAGCTACACCCTAAAATGAGGCCTTGATTACATGAGAAAGGGGAACCCTAAGGGGTGACTTAAAACCAGTTTAGTTAAATCAGTGTACAGGGCTGTGTGGACACTTGTAGTTAAGCGTAAAGCAGGCTCATTTCATTTAGCAAAACTCAAGAAGGAATCAACTTTAGTTAAACGGAACTATGAGCATCCACACAGCCTTATGCACCCATTTAACTAAGTTGGTTCAAAAATCACAGCAGAGGTTAAACCGGTGCAGCTTTGTTGTGCCGACAAGTCCTGAGAGTGACGCGGTTCCTTTCTGTTAGTGCGACAGTCAATATAACAGCCTGCACAGGTCCCTCTTTCAGAGCCTTAGATGGCAGCATATAAGATGTGATGAACAAGCTAGCACGTCTTAGGAGATTGGTTTTCAAACTATGGGTTGCGACCCAGTACTGGGTTGCAGAATGGAAGGCACTGGGTCACGGCACCTCTGGTCAGCACTGCCGACGAGGCCGTTAGAAGTCCCATCGGCGGTGCTGCCCGGCTAAAGCAGGCTAGTCCCTACCTGTTCTGACACCGTGCTGTGCCCTGGAAGCAGTCAGCAGCAGGTCTGGCTCCTAGGCGGGGGGCCAGGGGGCTCCGCGCGCTGCTTTCGCCCCAAGCACTGGCTCCGCACCTCCATTGGCCAGTTCCCGGCCAACAGGAGCTGGGGGAGGCGGTACCTGTGAGTGAGAGCTGTGTGGAGCCAGACCTGCTGCTGGCCGCTTCCGGGACGCAGTGTAGTCTGCGGTGTCAGGACAGGCAGGAAGCCTGCCTCTGCATCCTCGCTGTGCTGCTGACTGGGAGCTGCCCACGGTAAGCCTGCGCAGAGAAGAGCTCTATGTTGAAGCAGAAGTTGTTCCAGTAAAAGGTATTACCTCGCGCAGCTTGTCTCTCTACTACCCCTCTGAGCCACCTGCAGCCCAGTACCCACTAAGTCCACATTGCAACATCGGTGCCAGAACTGACTGGGAGGGGACAATGCGCCCTTCTGAGCCACCCACGTGCTCCCTGAAGCACAATACCCTCTACTGCCACAGTGGGGCATTGGTGTCATGATGGCTTAGAGTGGAGAGCACCCCTTACTGAGTCACCCACATGCTCCATGCAGCACCTTAGATTTTCCTAGAGGTCTCCCATCAGACACTGATCTGACAATTCTGCTTAGGTTCAGAGATTCCAAGGCCAGAAGGGAGCACTGTGATCATCCAGTCTGACTTGCTATGTAACATTGGCCAGAGTCATGCCCCAGGATAATTCCTGCAGTTCTCTTAGAAGAATACCCAGTCTTGATTTAAAAATGCTCAGTGATTGAGAAATCACCACGCCCCTCGGTAAATTGTTCCAATGGTTAATTACCCTCACTCTTGGACAAAGAACTGGTATGGCTATGGGCTCTGCTGACAGGTGTTTGCACCATTCAGCTCTCCAGCTAAGTTAGACTGACCATGTGCTTGGGCACTGCCCTAGAGCTGTCCCCTGCTTCCGAGCACTGACTCTAGCACTAACTTGCTAGCTGGTTGAAGTGACCAGAGTTTGGAGGGTCCCAGTGACACTGGTGAAAGTGTGCACTCCTGCATCTATGCAGGATTTGATTTTGCAGGAA